TTTTTTTTTTTTTTTTTTGATGTATATTCTGGGGAGATTTTGTGGAAATGTGTGTCTGTTTCCTGCTTTGCACCTTGTTTATTTGGGTTGTTGGCTTTTACAAGGTGTCCTCTTTCCCAGGTCTGGTGACCTTTGTCATTCCTAAGACAAATGTGAGGACTTCTCATGCTTGCTGGGATGTTTTTCTTTCACTGTGACGTCATTTGGTGAGAACCTGACTGCCTGATTAGGATTGCATACCTTCTCCCGAGAGAAATCCCGTCTGTGGAGAGAGAGACTGAGATAGAGGCTGAGAGGGAGAGAGAACACGCTGGACAGGAAAGTGTGTGGGCAGGATTCCTGTAGTCCAGTGGATTTACTTGATTTCTGTTTCTGTTTTCTGTCCCTCACAATCCCTCTCCTCAGGCCCCTCCAATCCTGAGTCTCTCTGACTCAGTTTCCGCCATGCCTGGCAGGGACACCCAATGGTCCCATGCACGAGGCGGAAGGCTCTGAGGCCTGGGTCAGGCCATCACTGCCACTCTCGGGGCTCTGCCTGCTCTCAGCTGTGAATCCACCTGCTCCTCACTGGGCCAGGCTCTCACAGTGCAGTTTCCAGTTCTGGAGCTGCTAGGACAGCTAGCTCTTGACATCTGCTTTCCATCTTGAAAACTTTTCTTGTCATCTTTCTTTCACTCTCCTTGAGGTTTTGTACGTTATTTGTATTCCTTTATTGCCATTTTACTGAGGCTTTGGGAAGCATGCACACAAAGCCGGATATCCAATCTCTGAGTAATCCAGGGCCTTTCCTGTATTTTCTTTACAGTGGAAGACAGCTGCCCCCTGCTACCTGAACACTCACCCAAGCTGCTCAGGTAAATTCTTCTTCACAAACATCTCTGTTAATTCGTTTACCTCAAGTGTTACTGATTTCAACAGCCTGTATGTTCTACAATAATTACATTTTTACCTATTTTTGTTTACAGTGCTGAGAACAGAACGCCCAGCTGCACACATGCTAGGCAAGTGCTCTACCTTCATCCCCAGCCCCCAATATTTCTTTTTTTTTTTTTAAGCTGATCACAGGAAGCAGATTTTTGTTTCTCTCATAATACTTTTCTTAAATGTTTTCAGGAAGAATGTGGAAAAGTATTATTTCTATTGCATTTAAATTGAATGTTTCTACATGAACTGGTGCTTTTTTTTTTTTTTTTTTTTTTTA